CACATTTTTTTCCAGCTTTGACTTAAAATATTTGTGAAGAATATGTGTCGGTTTAAAATATGAACTATAAGATCATGCCCAGGACAAAAAGCAAGAATTGTTTTGATATAGTTAAAGGTAAATTTTTATGGGTCATTTTCTGGGCGACAGGAAAGAACAAAGTAGAAGAAAAAAGGTGTTATCATGATTGTGTAATTACTTTTTATGCCCCCTTTCACCACAATGTACATAATTTACTATGCAGGTCGTTTCCACACGGCCTTACAAGTCCAACCCAGGCGAAGTGGGAAACAGCATCCAATCAAGAAATTCTGAGTAACCACTCAATAAAATAGATTTTTTCGCAAGTTGGAATCGATCACACATCTTCTGTGTGCAACCGTGAATTGCACGTACCACGTATGCCAATAAAAACAAAAGATGGAAAGCAGTCAGAGACAAAATATTACATAAAAGTAAATATAAAGCACCTCACAAAATAATTAAAAGCATCAGAACGTCATAAATGCCTATGGGCTTCATCCGGTTTGTTGCCACAGCCCACAAATATAATCAGAAAAGCAAGAAAATATTTTTAAAGATTTGCTCCGATAACAACAATGCAACAACTACCCAATCAAAAACGAACAGAAATGAAAAAATCAACAGGCCTAGTTAGTATTTAATTTGCTTCAAGAAACGACATCTTGTTGCCAGACTTTTTAAAAGTTTGCCTTTACAAATAAATTAAATCACCACATTGGTTTGAACATAAATAAAACAGGAGAAAAACTAATCAAATGAATTCATCCACTAATGAAATGAATTCATCTACTTAATATTCAATAGATTAGAAATAAACTTTGAAGAAATAAAAAATCAATTAGCTACCACAAACTTTCACAAAATCACAAACAAATATGATTTAAATCGTAAGAAAATATTTTTGTAATGGGAACTTGGTACTTCCGAAACCCTATTTTATAAAGATTTTTTGGGGTGACAACATCTGCAGTCAACTATTTTCAGATGATGAAGCATAACCTTATGCCCATCTTTTATCACCTGAGATAACTCTGCGTGTCCTGATAGTGAACCAAAAAAAATTTTTTTTTAAATCCTCACACAATACGTATTGTGGAAGAGGACACACTATCACGACCATCAATTCTGACCCCTCAGCCAGCCACACTCAGGTCACATAGTTTTTCTATTAAAAAAATGATGAACTAAATTTAGGATTTAAGTCAGCTTAACTTTATCAGACACAGTTATCTATTGTTAATTATATATATATGAAAGAAATTGTTGTAAAGCGCATAGATAGAGCATGGAAATACATTATATATATATATGCAAATTAAAATTATTATTATTATTGTATTATTATTACTGTTATCATCATAAATTATTAACTACTATTTTTATCATTGTCAAATAAATCATTATTATTATATTATAATCATTATTCCAATTACTACTCTTCTATTATTATTATCATGCGCTATATATAACTGCATTTATTATTATAAAATAATAATAATTATTATTATTTTATTAGAAAAGCAAACAACTCAACATAAATATCTAGGTCCTATCTCAGTATATTGGAACTGCAATGCAAGACATGGAATGACTCACCAAATGCTTGAGTGATCAAATTCCTTCTCATATTTTCAGCTCTCTCATAATAAATATTGCCCTCACCACAATACCACACAGCATTTTATATTCAAACCAAACAAAGAATGTGACCTTTGTCTTGAGATTATGAAAAAAAAAGAGATTTCGTTTACCACTTGACCTATTTTCCTCCACAGGCTTTTCGCGAAACTTCTCATCAGTGAAGAGTCTTTGACTTATCCCCTTAGTCAAAGGCTCAAGGACCATCAGAGCCCCGAATCTCAAAGCCATCACCAGGTGCCCCTTCCCAATATACACACATGCTGGGGATAATCACATAATGTCACTCCTGTTTATCTCTTTTTGTACAGATTTTAAGCACACTGTGCATGAAAAAAACACCGCCCAAGAATAGGAGTATCAAGTGGGTAATGTAATTTTTTTTTAAAGAGCACACAATTTCATTAAATACACCCATTAACCATCCTTCTCACCTATCAGTGAAAAAAGGCACAAAAATGGTGCAACTACAGGTCATTCACCCAATAACACTGTTCCCAACATGTTTCTAGCTTCCTTCCACATCCATACCAGGGTATCAACACAAACACACACAGACATTCAAACACACACATGTTGGACTAGTATAACATTCTAGATGATATAAGGTGGGATACATTATAAACACCCATCATGACATCCATTAATATTAATTAAGCAGAAGATAAACTAGTATATACATAAACATGTTCACTTACGCTCGCTCGCGTATGCACGCACACACATACACACACACACACACACGCACACACACACATGCACACACACACACACACACACACACACACACACACACACACACACACACACACATATACACTCACATCAATAATGACGTTTGCCCCTAAGGACTTTGGTTACTGACTCATGATACACTATACATCAGTCTATCAGCTGACCACATACTAGTAGTAGTAGTAAGACAAAATAATATTTGTGACATAACTGATGTCACAGGCCCTCAAGAAAGACCAGCTCAACAACAAGAGTTTATCAGCTTATACTGGAGGACATGAGCTAGCACACGTCAGCAAAGGATTGCTGGTCTCTTATTTTAACCGTTCTTTGTATTATCCTAAGACTTAAAATAGCTTCAATGTTTACATCCAATCTTTGGAAAACTGATAGAAGGTCTTTAAGTTTTATTAAGAGTTTTACGGACTTGTATATATATATATACAGGAAAGATCTTGGTCGGAGCAAACCACTGCCGTACTGAGTACTGATCATTACGTCGTCACACTAATTGAAAAAAAAAGTAGATGAAATATTTTTTTCAAATTAAGCGACCTGAGATAAAACACATCTAGTGCAATCAGTGACATCTAGAGCAAAGACCACTTCTTTTTTTGTGTTTTTTGTATAGATTTTACGGCGCTGGCAACTGCATTATAATAAGGTCATATGAGCGCCAGAAGATTAGAGGTGTTACAAGAGAGTAACAAACATAAAAAAGAAGGAGGGGGAGAAGATAAGGACGATAGATGTTTGATAGGAAAGAAGGAGCAAACCACACCAGAGCACCCGCCAACCACCCACGCCCACGTCTTCACAAAAAGGAGACAAAACAAAAGTAAATAAAACAACCACTCTCACTGAACAAAATTTTTTTTTAAATGATTTTGTCAGATCATTTATCTGCATTATAAGTGACTCTAGAGTCTAGGTAAGTAAAAAACTTTATCACTTTTTTTTATCAGTGAAAACACACAATCAAGCTGATCTTACATTGGTCTATCTCTCTATATTCAATATAAATTGAAATATATCTTAGAACAACTCTTAAGGCAGGACATCAGTTTCCGACACACCAGCTTGAGCAAGAGAATCAAACAGGAAAATAATCTGGCTTTATCTTAATACCAGCAGTAGCAGTACAAATATTAAATTAACCTTTTTAACTCAGTTCTTTAGTTGGGGGGGTTTTTTGTGCGATTTTTTTTTGGTAAGTGTTTTACGGTGCTCGCAACCACAAGGTCATATATATATATATATATATGAGCGTGTGGGACACATTAAACATTCAGTAGGTAGGCAATTTTGAATTTTTTCCCAGGTGGCGGCTGAAGCCTGATTCTTATCGATTCTGGACCACCAAGGGATCTTTAACGCTAGCAACTTGCACACAGGACCTCCAAGATTTTTCGCCCTTGCCCGAGAAGGCTAGGTGTAGATCTTTCCTACCATAAGATCAGGGGTGTGGCAAAAGACAGTCTCAGTAAGAAGGAACCAGGGAGTAGCAGTACAAAGGCTGAATGCAAAAAGACCCAAGAGCCCACAGAACATTGCTAGAACTAGAGAGCAGGAAAGGGGGTGAAAGGAAACAATTTTAGAGAAAGAAATTTTCGTTGCTTTCCAGATTATAACCCAGGACCTTTGAATGAGAGGCGAATACCTTAAAAACTTCTAGGCCACGAGAGCCCCGTTTCAAGTTTAGTGGGTTTCAACAGTAACATTAACTCAGAAGTGCACAAAGACAACTCAAAGTAGACTAAATTATTGCCATTAAATTATTGCTAAATCCATTAGGCATGAAGGCCATCTCATCCAAAACAGGATAACTAGATTCTAGATCTAGGCCTCTATAATCTCACCTGCAGCTAACTTTATCTTTATGATTTCCACCTACTGCCAAAACAAAAGATCAAATCTTCAATCTTCTTACTTTTAATGATAGCCTTCACAAATAAGTAACAGGGCAAGCAAGCATCAATTCAATCTTGTCACTGAAGAAAAATTGCATAATTCCTCATCATATGAGAATTTGTAAACCTATACTATGGAAACCTTTAGTTTTATACCACCTTTTTCACCTCTCATCAATGAATATTCATGCTTGGTCATTGAGTGTCACTGGGTAGGATGTTGATGATGATCGTTAGTCGTTAATGCGTTCTGGTTGTCATTGTGAAATATAGAAAATCACTTAGATAGATCTACTTGACAGTTGACAAGAAACGTTTGTTGATTTGAAACGCAATAGATCTAGATCTATAGAAAAACCATTCGATTTAGAAAACTAGACAGACAGCTTAGTTTAGGTGATCAACTGTCCCGATCTCTTTTATAGGCCTCTTGACTACTCAAACGTGCGTGAGCACCCGTGTTACTCAACAGTAGACCTACAATCTAGATCTAGATCCAGAATCTAGATTAGATCTCCATTTAAAAACAATACAACAATGGGCTAATTACGAAATTTTTATGGCAATTTATGACAACTCACAACAATAATGCGCCCCTGCCCCAGTTACTATTGAGAGAAGTGTGGGCGTATTTGTTTATATCAACACATCACAGAGCCCCATAACATCCGCGATACAAAAGTGGCTACTCACCGAGTGTAGGCTCCACATATTCTGTAATCAGCCGGCTGTGTTTGCTTCTTTTCCTTATTATCCATTCTGTGATCTTTTATCTCTCCTACTCCTACTGTCGGCATCACGCCTGGGGCGGGAGAGCCGAAGACATTACATGGTTAACTTCGGGCCATCCGATCCTTTAGCAATTTTCTGTCCATGTCCGACAAGACAGAATCATAATACTTCCACAGAAACAGCCACAAAATATTAACTAATAGAATCTGTGAACGTATGACTGCTGTATTATTCGTCAAAAGGGGGTACTCGGGACACTTGAATAACTCGCTCTATCATCATCGACAGTTTTGTTTGAGGCTGGGAGCTATAAATAGATTCTGAAGAACCAGCTGAGTTTCAGAAGCATCGTACAAAATTTATTTCACTCACGGATTTTTCATTTCACCAGATAAAAAGCCCACATAACTCTAAATTCTTCATGCGGTTAGATATCTAGAAATTTCTAAATTTAAAAAAAACCAACATAAATATATATGTTTTCAAAATGCACGAAATATAATTCCGAATTCCACGGAAGGGCCAAATTACAATTATTAGAAACAATGACACTGAAAATAATAATTGTGTTAGGTCAACAGAAAAAGTAGAGAGAAAGTATAGAGAAGGGTGAGGAGAGATCGAGATCGTCGAGAGAGAGAGAGAGAGAG